CTACACTGACTCACCTTGAACACTAGGGGAGTTATGTGAGAATGTTTTTCATAAACTTTAGCTCTGGTCAACACGGCCATCCCCAGCAGACTGACCTCTAAACTGAGTGACTGAGGACTTTCACAACCAACCTGCCACTGGATCAAAGACTGTCTCATTAACCACCTCCAGACAATCAGAATAGCTAAACACCTCTCCTCCACCATCACACTCAGCACTGACTCCCCACAGAGCTGTGTGCTGAGCCCCATTCTCTGCTTACTGTACACTAATGACTGTGCCACCATCCATAACTCTAACACCATCATTAACGGCTGTGGTTGGACTCATCTCAGGAGGCGATGAGTCCCCCTTACAGAGCTGAATTCCAACAACTGATGGTGTGGTGTTCAGAGAACCATCTGGCCCTGAACTTGATAAAAACAAAAGAACTTTTAATTCATTTTTGAATCATCAAAGGGGGACTGGGTGAACGGGTCCCTGCCTTCAGGTTCCTGGGTACACAGAGTGATGAAGATATCTCCTGGACTACCAACACCACCACAGCACTGAAGAAGGCACAGCAGTGATTCCACTGAGAATCCTCAAAAAAAAACAACCTGCAGGAAAAGCTGCTCATGACCTTTTGCTGCTGTTCTGTCAAGAGCATGCTGGCATACTATATCACTGTGTGGTTGGCCAGCTGCTCAGCAGCGGACAGGAGAGCCCTTCAGAGGATCATCAACACCGCCCAGAGGATCATCAACTGCTCACTGCCTTCCTTAGAGGAATTATTCAGTCCTCCCTGCCTCTGTAGAGCAGCAAACATTCTTAAGGACCAGTCCCATCCTGGTCACAATCTGGTTGAAGCGGCTGTGGCTCAGGTGGTAGAGCAGTTGTCCTCTGATTGTAAGGTTGGCGGTTCGATCGTCTGTCCCTCCACAGTTGAAGTGTCCTTGGGCAAGACACTGACCCCGAAGTTGCTCCCAATGGCAGGCTAGCACCTTGCATGGCAGCTCTGTCACCAATGGGTGAATGAGAAAACATCGTTGAGTGCCGCTAAGGTAGAAAAGTGCTATACAAGTGCAGTCCATTTACCATTTACCACGTACCCTCAGGTCCAAACAGACTGAAAGACTGCTTCTGCCCCAGAGTGATAAGAGAACTGGACTCTGTCAAACACTCTCACTAACTGTCTGGACCTGAGTGGATAGCAACTTGACTAACTTATGCACTTTGTATTCATTATGACGTACTGACAGACTATTGATTAATTTGGGTGCAAAATTTGCAATGACAATAAAAGCTATTCTATTCTATTCTATTCTATTCTATTCTATTCTATTCTATTCTATTCTATTCTATTCTCCACTTCACATTTCTAATTCGCCTACCTACATGTATCGCCTGTATACACCTGACCTTGATCAATTTGGTACCTTTGCGTTTTGGGCATATTAGATCAAAGTGAAAAAGAATTGCCAGAGTAAGAGAAAAATCTGATTGTGAGACTTCAAAAAGATGGAAAGGGATACATGAGGATCTATGACTAACTAAAAATCAATCAAAACAGTAATAAAGAGGTACAATTTACAAGACTTAAAGGATTTGGAGTGGTCAGAATGTTTAGGATTTTGGATGTTGTACATTCAAACACACACAGTTTGGAAAGGTTGTCATGCAAATGCTTCTCTGTGTATCTCAGGAGAGGTTGACTTCACTATTTAGACACAGAAATTAAGGTCAGTTTGTAGTGACAGCAAAGATTTGTCTTTGTGACACTTTAACATTTCTTGTTGTAATCAAAGCCAAAGAAGCATTTGCAGTTCTTCGTGCAATCAGACATGATATCTACATGGTTATTGGCAAGTCAACAATATTCTGTATGTGTTTGACATGTCTGATATTCTTGTTTAGGTCGCCTATAGTTGGAAGCGAGACTGTGAAAAACATGATTTTAGAGGATCCCTATATAAGAAATAACTTGCAACAGCAATGAAAAAAGTGTATCACAGGCAGCGAGTATAGTCCTTGATGAACAGGTTATGCTGGAACACAGCTGTTAAAAGTTATATATCCTACATCACTGTATAGACAAGTTGAGTGTTTATTCAAGCACACCTGTACAGGCCCTTCTTTATCACAGTTGTCTGGTAGTTCTTGAAGATGTGGCTCAAGGGGTTTCAGTGAACCTGGTGGGGGGAATGACCTGGTGGTGGGGCTAAACTTGAGATAGTTAAAAACACTTTAGTCTTTCACCATATGTAGATTGTGGGTACAAGCCTGTCACTGGCCAATTGTCTCAGTCGCCATTCTCCTACCCCATTCCACTTACTGCATACTACAGTTTTCTTTCACCACTGAAGAAAGAAACAACAACCTCTGGGCAGTAGCCTATCAAACTGAAACTGAAAGTTTTCCCGGGGATTCACATTGTTTAGTAAGGCAGCTCTGCTTGCTATTTTTTAGTTTTTTTAGTTGATTATCCATTTTATTCACAGTGCTTGTCTCTCTGCATACAAATGTTCTACCACAACAATTCTACCTGTCACTATTTTGAGGAAACACTGAAAGGCTGTGTTGCTGCCAGTGTTCAGGGTCAGAATTAACAAGCATTCAGTTTCAAATATCCATGTATCTATGTTTAGACAGTTTGGAAATGCTAGAAGAATGAAGGTGTCCAGCGATGGTGAGAGGCACCCAAGCACAGCTGTGCCGACCAGCAAGACACAACTGACCTGCCATTTCTGATTGCCTTAGTCTAACCACCATGCATGTGATGACTCAGGGCTGTCCCACTGTCGAATTTTTCAGAGCTTCAGAATTCTGAGTGTGCTTTTCAGTGCTATTACGTGTGTTATTTATTGTGTGTTTGTAGAGTTTCTTGTATTTTGTGTTTTCATGGGATTTGTAGACATTCATGGCTTACTTGACTTTTGCTCTTTGATTGAAAGTATAGACTTTAAAGTCACAAACAGGGAGGGATCATCTGGACAGCTCACAAAGCTACAAATGGAACACCACTCCACATACTCCCATTCCTCCTATTTATACCATTTCAAGTCCTCGTGAGCTTACATGTTAAACACTACAATTGTGCTCACAAGTGATGTCAATTAAGCCTGTGAAGGTCTGATGATTAGGCCTTGGTCTGCAGACTGGAGTTGGGTCTTGGAGAACTTCAGTTCATCCATGGTTCCTCTGTTTAGGCTGTCTCATTGTCTTTTGACTCCTCATGTAACTCCAGACTGACTCCATCATGTTCAGATTGGGGTTCTGTGTGGGTCAGACCATCTGTTGCAGGACTAGTTCTTTGTGCATCTAGCACAAAGTCTGGGCTCGTTCTCATGAAGCTGTATTCATTTGGAGCCAATCAGATGCCTCCTGATGGTACTGCATTATGAATGAGAATCCAAACATTTAAAGCATCTAAAAACATCTAAAACTTTTGCACACTATTGTATGTCTTTAGTAGGAGAAAGTAGCAAGCGTAGTTCGAGTTACTTAACACACCCTGAAAATCTCTTCTTTCCTGATAAACTGTGGTTTAACTTTTCCCCTGCACCAGTGATGCTCAAGTGAACATTACTGCCCTGTGAGATCAATGCTGCTGCACGTCAATCCTCATCATCATCTTAAATAATGGTGAGTGAGGTGAAACATACCTGAAACTTTCAAGGAAAGAGGGCAAACAACACAGCATTTAAGCCTAATGTAAAGTTAGCTTCGGTTAGGATTAACTGCCACCAATATAATAAAGTATTGTAATCAAATAATGAAATGCGATTGATAGTTGAATTCCACTCTTAAAAAGGAAAACAGAAAGTCTAAACTGAGTCTGAATAAAAGTTTAGGATTGTAGTAATAACAGCAAGAGAGGCTAACAGGAAAAGAACTGCGATTTGCAATAGAGCATATTTCATAATTTTTTATAAACTGGATTTTGTTATGTATTTGCATTTGTTTTTGTTGTTTTCTGTTTTTTGTTTTTTTTTCATTTGGTTTTGGAGGTTGTGAATGAGACAAGAAAAATATATAAACTTAAGGAACATTTTGAAAAATCATGTTAAGTTTGACCCAATAATATACACTTATAAGAAGTTCATTAACTTCAGTTCTTCAGTGTCCCAACCAGTGTTAGACCTCAGTTTCTGATAATTAGGTACAAATACCTGTGCAACTCCAATCTTTATTCCATACAACACAACTAATCTGGTGAAAACTGATGAAAAACTGAGTATAAGTCTGAATCTGATAAAAATGTAAGAGGGTGTCCTTTTTAATCTGATTCTTAAGCAGATTTGTGGCTGTTGCCAGTATAAAAAATAAATTCCATGGACTGCAGCAAGGTGTACATAATGTGACAAAGTTTAGACTTGACTGAGTTTTGACTCTGATTAGCATCAATCATGGAAAAAGATCAGCATAAAAAGAAAGTGACTTGCAAACTTAAGGTTTATATTGTATTCATATGTTGGTAGTCTGTTCATAAACTTAGCCGTAGTGGTGTGACTAACATCACAGAGGTGTTGGTAAGGGTTCAGTAATGTGCCACATGAAGAGGGTTCGGAGCCTTATAAGGAGCTGTTTTTCTGTTAACCAGGATGTTCTCATGATACTATGTAACACAGACCAATGGAAAATATTGTCTTACTTAATGTCTCTCTGTTTTACTAAAAAAGCTGTGTTCTTGTGTTTTTTCTTGGATAGCAGAACGATTCCTGATTGTCACCATGATGTTATATTATATTATATTATATTATCAACAACCTGCGAGTGCTCTTTGTACACTAATTGTTATAGGACGTTTTCCCATGACATCAGTAGTGGGGGTAGGGAAATATTACTGCAAAATTGCAGATGTATTTCTGTTCAATGAGTATTGTGCACATTCAAATAAAAGAGTTGTATTTGGTTATACCCTATACCTTGGTATGGACAACCATACATTTTGTGTTTTGTGTATGGTGTGTGTATTTGTGTTCTGCATGTCATCACTGTATCTGTCCCTGGTAGAATCCTCATAGCCTTGTCTGAGCCTCTGGGATGTAGATCTCAATGCTGTCAGCACTCTCTGTAGCTGAGTTTTGCCGTACAGATGCTGCTCTCTTGGCAGCCATCAGGCGCTTCCTGGCCTCTTGCCGCTGTTTCTCTGAGCTCTCCAGTGAGCGTTCTCTGGCCAGAGGAGGAAGGTGGTGGGGGCCCTTGGGCGGCTTTTTTGGCACTGGAGGTGGGAGCCGCCTCTCCTGGTGGTAGAGGATGGTAGGGGGAAGGGTAGAACATTTCAGGGAAAAAAAACCAAAAAAACATATATTTTTGTGTGCATGCATTATGTGCCTGTGATTCCCGTCTTTAATGTCATGCGGTTTTATTTGTTTAACGTGTACCAGCACACTTGAAGATACAGTACATGTAATAACTACAGATGAGGCAAGAGGGGTTAGGCAGTCTGTATAATTCTTTTTTTCCATATTAGGTAGATATTTTAGTTGATTTCATGCAACTCTATCCTGTGGCAGGGTCTATTCCTGCACTTATTTTATTTTATCATCCATTACCTGTACATGGATAGACATGGGTCCATTTTCACTACTATGCAGATGACCTAATGTTCCATCTTTCTACTTGCACTGAAAAATTCTATAGTTTTGACTATCTTTTTATATCACGTACTGATAACACTATTCTTATCAAAGTGAAAGCTAAAATCAGTGAGTGAATTGCACTATTTGACAAGTTCTTTGAATCCCTTTTCCAACTACTGCAACTACCTGATTGACAGTGCAAGTATATAGTATATAGTATACAGTATATAGCAGCTTTGAATTGCAGCTATCGGGCCTTCTACAGGCTAGTCTGAGGAATAATGCTGCACTTCCTTAGTTCATAAACAACAGCCGTAAACTTTTCTATCCGTCTATTTTGACAGCTACAACACACAAAATAAAAAGCCACACATGGTGAGGTGGTGGCAGGCAGCAGAAGGAAGGAGGAGCAGAAGGAAGAAATGGAGAATGGAAAGATGGATGGAAAGACAAACATGATGGATTCACGGAGGCCCAGAGAGATCAAGGCCCTGTGGTGTTGTTGGCATTGCTGATAGATGCGTGGCTGTTTGCAAGCGTCTTCACTGTCAACACACACACACACACACACACACACACACAAGCAAGAAAGAAAAAAACAACAATGAGAGCAAATGAGGAAGCCAGCAAAGCCAATATTCATATGATGCAAAGCTGCAACAGATACTGCTAAAAGAGAGCAACGGAACAGGCAAAAGACATCTGGAAAAGATTCAGAGATACACTTCTAGATTTGTAGAGCATCTGTTTCACCATAGAGGCGGATTTATGTCATGTAACACTCTGTGACAATCTTAGTTTCAATCTGTCACAGACTAAGATCTCCATTTTGAGGCATGACAGACTGTGCAACAAATATGCAACAAAAATCATTGACAATGGAAATTTAAAAGAAAAAAAAAATGCAGCCAAGTAGTAAAGTGTCATCAGTTCATCTTGCACTATCCATCTGCATGAGCCTCAGATTTAGAAAACAGGACAAAAAGCGATCAATGGCTGCTGTGGCAGGGCAGCTGCACCCAACTGTAGGAACTCAGTTCAGTGTTTGTGAATCTTGAGGTGGACTGTTTTTGGTATCAGAACCTATAAATCAGTCATGGTTGGCTGACAAAAAGTGACAACCAAAGATTTCACCATAATTCCCTCATCGCTGTCTTCACCATACAGAACGATTCTACTGAAAGAATAGTTTCAAATCTTGTCTTAAGTCTAGCTAATAGGTGTGATCTTACACGAATAATCTGTGACATCACAAGTCATTTGAAACCAGTCGTGATCTAATAATCCAATCCAATCCGATCCAATCCAACAATCACCTTGTAAGAGTGATTGTTTAATTCCTATTTACTTGCACGCTATATGTAAGGCGATTGACCTGGGTCCTTGTTTAGTCATCAAGCCAAACATGTTAAACAGTCATTAGATCAACATCAGAGAGTGATATTTATTTAAGTGTGCTAAGTAGCTAAATATCAACCATCGCTCTCCAGAATCACTGACTCACCTTTAAGCCAACTAGTATGTTGCTTCAAACATGCAGACTTTGCAGAATTCAAACACATTTGCTATGGTCTTGAGTAATGATATGACAACACACTTTTTACAAAGCAAGGCTCATGGGGCCAGATGTGTGAAGGTTTGGGGATAACTTTGGCAGTTTGGGCTTGCTTTTGTGTGGAAACAAATTAAACAGTAAACGAAGTTTTAAAAATCATTTACTCTGATCTGACTGAATTACATCTGGCTCCAGGTTTCACATACCATTCTGAATGTTTTTCTTTTTTTTTTCATGTCGGCATGGTCACTCGAATGGCATTCATGGGAATTTTATGGAATATTGTCTGCTCTACAGTTTTCTATTTACATGATTTCAGATTTTATTAAGTTATGTCCTTGAAAGAATCGTATTTCCTTACTTTGACTGGAAGTAATATCATAACCTTATCCCTTGTAAGGACGGGCACTAAAAAGTCCCACACTTATATATACTATATATACTAAAGAATTACTATTTTTTGTTTAAACTAATGAAGAACCTGTCATGTGACTCCTATGTAAATAAGACAGAAAACTGTGCATATGTATTTTTTTAAAATAAAAAAACATAAACACTTATTATTATATTAACTTAACTTACCTACCCTATTTATTATAGCATTGCTTTAAAATACAGTTGCATTTTAGGAACAAGTGAAAATCATAGGTATCAACAAATGTGCTTATTTTACTGAAAAGTTTGGTCAGGGGTCACTGACTTCAGTTGAGCCAGCTTAAAAGTTAGGTAAATTTTTTATTTTTTAAAAAATTAGGGCTTCTACAAGCACTGAGTTTGCTTTGGAGAGAAGGCTGGGGCGCAAAAGACTGCTTGAGTAAATTAGACTAGGAAACGGATATTATAGTAGAGCAGCAGAACAATGAAATATCCCCCTTTGCACCACAGAGGAGCACACACAGACATTTTTTTTTTTGCAAAGTTCAACATTCACATTCATTAGGGCTATTGAAAGAAAGAAATATCACAATGTTTAACCAGCCATTCAGATAACGGTGATATCCCACGTCAACTACTTGGCCTGGTGGAATGCTAAAAGGTTGTATGTGTACCTTTCTCTCAGGAGGATCCAAGGGTCTCCAGCTGTTGGCTCTCAGCTGGTGAAGCTCATCAAACTTGAGGCTTATATTCTCAATTGACAGCTGAAGCATATCCCAAAAACCAGCCAGGTCTGAGGCCACTGGACGAGGGTGGGCGTTGGGATTCTGTGACAGTAGAAAAGAGAGAAAACAGTCGTACGATGAAAGCCAGGAAGAAAAAAATAAAGCTCTACACATTAGCTTATCTTCAGATTTGTTCTTAGATACTGATAAAGTGTTCCCAAAAATATAAAAACAAAAGATGAAGATACCCCTTGATGAATCACTACCTCATCACGGTGGAGGGGTTTGAGTTTCCCCTGGTAGTTTCTCCCAAGGCAAATTGGTTCTGGGGGAGGGACCAGACAAAGAGCGATTCAAAGATCCCTGATGACATCTAAAGAAAGCAAAGCCGCAACCTCGCCTGGACCAGGGAACCCTGGGCCTCCTCCTGGAGCAAGTCCTGGGGGTGGCTGAGCCTTGGGGCCTCTTGGGGCTTGGTCGGGCACAAAGAAGCGGCACGGGGCCACTGCCCAGAGGGCCCACCACCCTCAGGGCAACAAATCAGGGTCGGGTGCTACCGCCGTACCGCCCCCTGGTGGCACAGACTAACTCTGAGGATGTGGAATGTCACCTCACTGGTGGGGAAGGAGTCTGAGCTGGTGCGGGAGGTGGAGTGTTAACGGTGAGATATAGTTGGGCTCACCTCCATGTGCAGCAAGGGCTCCACAACCAAACTCCTGGAGAGGGGTTTGACTCTCTCCTTTTCTGGAGTTGCCCAGGGTGAGAGGCCCCGGGCGGGGGTGGGGATACTCACAAGCCCCCGGCTGAGCTCCGCCTTGTTGGAGTTCTCCCCGGAGAACAAGAGGGTCGCCTCTCTGAGACTGTGTGTTGCAGAGGGGAAAACTCTAACTGTCGTTTGTGCCTATGCACTGAATGGCAGTTCAGACTACCCGGTATCTTCAGTATCTCATAATCTTGTTCAGGAGTCATTGGAACGCAAGGTGGACAGGCGGTTTGGTGTGGTGTCAGCAGTAATGCGGGCTGTACCGGACTGTTGTGGTGAAGAAGGAGCTGAGCCGCAAGGCAAAGCTTTTAACTTACCAGTCCATCTACGTCCCAACCCTCACCTATGGTCATGAGCTCTGGGTCATGACCAAAAGAACGAAAATGCAGAAACAAGCAACCGAAATGAGCTTCCTCCGCAGGGTGGCTGGGCTCAGCCTTAGAGATAGGGTGAGAATCGCAGACATCTGGAGGTAGCTTGGAGTAGAGCCGTTGCTCCTACGCATCGAAAGGAGTCAGTTGAGGTGGCATGGACACCTGATTCGGATGCCTCCGGGGAGGCTTCCTCTGGAGACTTTCTGAACACGTAAATCTGGGAGGAGACCCCGGGGCAGACCCAGAACCCGCTGGGGGGGATTTCATTTCTTGGCTGGCATGCGAACGCCTCGGGATCCCCCAGGAAGAGCTTGAAAGTGTTGCTGGGGGGAGGGATGTATGGAATGACCTGCTCTGCCTGCTGCCTCTGCGACCCGACCCCGGATAAGCAGAAGAAAATAGATGGATGGATGGAAGATGAAGATAGTATTGAAATGACATTGATGGGTCTGACACATTATTTTGAATGGACAGGTCCAGCTACTAAAATGTTACATTTAACAAAACTTGAACTATATACATTTCACTTTTTGAAAATGGAAAATTGTGTTAAATATTATTCTCTCTCTCAACATGTTAAATTCAAAATACTCTATTTGTACATGACACTAGACAAAGAACATATGTCTTTAAAATGTCTTTTCAATAATATATTTTCAGGCAGACACTGCCATCTCAAGAGCTGCTAGCATTTCTGAAAATACTTAAAGATATAGTTTTTCATATCTAGATTCTAAAATCTGGAAGGTAGCATCACAGCATTGAAATGTATAGCTCGTGAGATTAGGGAGAAATAAACTAAATAAAAGAAGTGGCAAAAGGCAAAATACAGGAAAAAATAGAGTGGATAAAACACATGCAAAAAAAAACCCCAAAGAACAGAAGCAATGTCTTTACAGATTGGAATAAGTTTGTTCAAACATACATTGCATACAAAGGAAAAGATGCAATATTTTTGCACTTTACTCTTCGTGTGTTCTCAGTGTTTCAGACTAACCAGGTTCTCCTCACACAGCTCCCTGAACTGTTGAAACTTCTGGGACATCAGAAGCTGAGCACTTCCCATGGCACTCCTCATCTTCCCGAGGACTAGAAGCATGGACACAGGGGTTAGAGGTCAGGAGATGATTATTAAGTCAGGAAATCATAAAAGGCAGGTGAAAAACTTAAAGAAAAACTTCACCCTTGACCAGTGCCTGAGTCATGGTGTTCAGGTAGTTTTGTCTGGCATGGTTTGGACTCACTAGTCCCCTTATAAGGAAGGGTCACTGCATTACCTTTATCTTATGATGTAATATTTCTATCTTGATGGGAGTGGTCTCTTCCAGGATGTCAGTGGCCTCATCAATAGAGCATGAGGGGTCATTAAATTATCAGATTGTAACCCAACTGTACATATTTGGGGGATTTTGGACTGTTGTGTTTGTCAAAGCTCTCCACTAACGGGCTATAGCTCAACTGATTGAGCTGGCGACCCATGTACCAGGGCTACAATCCCTGACGCAGCGGCCATGGGTTCAAATCCCGCTCATGGCCCTTTGCTGCAATTCCTTCCCCCATTCTTCTCCCTCACCTTCCTGACTCGAGAGCGCTCTCGACTGTCCTATATAATAAAGGCAAAAAGGCCCAAAAAAATAATTAAAAAAAAAAAAAAAAAAGGCTCTCCACCAATGTCATTAAAACAAGAAATAAGGGTATATCTTCTGAAAGAGTGGCATTCCGTTCCCTCCCATAGAGTTCCAGAGACTTGGACAATTCTAAGGTGTGTTAAAGCACCTTACTAAGACACTTTTTTTTTTAAACCTTTGCAAGGTGCAATCATATAATTCTGAGTCTGTGCCTAAAAAAAAAGGCAAAAACTGTTGCTGATTTAAATGTGGATGTCATCGCTGATAAAGTAGTCTCTTTACACCATGATACACCACTTGCCTTGCTCCTGCCATGTTTAGGACACTCTCTCTTACCACTTCTTCCACCAAACCAGTTCCAGTGCTAGTTCCGTGCTCATGCCTGACTTAGCACCAGTTCTTTGTGTTTCCACCACCTAAGTACCAGCTTTATGCTCTCAAAACTGGTGCTTAGCAAGCACCAACTCTTTGCTGGGCCAGAGCTAAGCACAGATTACATCAGGGGCTGGGTGCAGGGTTATCGTGACCACCGAGACCGATGAATGAATGGGACACACAAGCGGTGATTTGTGCCGTTTTTCGCCAGGACGACCAATCACAGATGTATTGAAATGACTCCAGGGACACACGGCAGTGCCCCACCAGCAGCACCACAGTGGTGGAAAACAATACTTTTATAACTTCAGTGTACTGCGTTATTTACGCTTAGAAATGCAGTCTTCTCATGAAAAACGGAACGCAGCTCCATGTGCTGTTTATTCCACTCATGGAAAAGATAGCATGAAAAAAAAAAACACTCGGTTTCATTTCATTGTGGACAAATCTGACATTAGAACGTCCTAGTTTACTCTTTTAAAAGTCATTTTTGGTCGCATGCCGGTCAGAGCACCGCAGCTACCAACAGCAGCTACCACAGCCTGCAGTGTGGGGCGTTCAGGAAACATCATAAATTGTACCGTCTATCGATAAGAAAATGTTCAGCAAGTCATATGTTTTGCCTGTGGCAAGGTGGGAAGTGCGAAAAAATGAGAAAGTTGGTCACACCGGTAAAAAAGTTAGTCTGGATCCTGTGTGGACCTCCGTGTAGCGCAAGCGTTGTTTGGTAAATGGCAGGAGTGACGTATGCCGTGGCTCTAACTTGGCTCCTTGCCAATGGAAAAGCAACCGGGTCTTAGATTGGAACCAACTTAGCACTGGCCCTAGCACCAGCACAGAACTAGCACCTGGTTCTTCTTGGTCGAAAAGAGGTATCTAAGTCCTGTTTTATAAGCATATCAAGCACCAGCAATGCTTGCTGGATCTTCATTCATTTGGTTTCATTTTGGATAGAAGGAGGAAGTTACAGGGAGCCAATTCCAGTGAATAGAGCAGAGTGATGATTGTGTTGGCAAGACCAAAAAATCCTGCTTTATGAACACACCATGAGCCTGTTGTCATGGTGGAGCATTTACGCCACAGTTATATCCATCCGTAACGAATGCTCCCCCACAGTACACTGTGGAATCTTAGGCACCATGCTGTTTAGCCTCTGGGTCAGATTTTACATCTTCAGACATCACTTTTAAATCTAACTGTTGATTGCATAGGTAGGCATGCTTTGATGATGAGACCTTTACCAAATAGTAACATAATGACACCTTGATACTGATGAACAGTCAAACACACAGAGACACACACACACACAAAGACGTACTATCTTCAGGCAGGTCATTCTCCTGCTGGTCGAGCTCCATTTGTTGACACCAGCCCTCCATCCGGTCAGTCTCAGCTTGCAGAAGCTTCAGGAACCAGCGCCCATCTCTCTGACACACTGATCGCTGCACCACCTGATATTCAGTTATTCAGACTTTCACAAAGAGTAGGGACACACCTGCATTCCATATAATGTAACACAACCACTAATGTAGTCATACAGTGCATGTCTTCAGCATCAATATCAGATTACTTACTGTATAGTTTATTATACATTCATTTGCCATGTCAAAAAACAGAGTTTGCAAGATTGTTTTTAAAGTTCATTTTTGCAAGGATTTATGTAGATGTACTGTATGTAGTCTTTGTTGACTATTTTCAAATGCAGGGTATACAATTAAATTTTTAATTTTCAATCTTTCAATGACTTCCATTTCTGTAAGGTATGAAAAACAAATAGTGGATTCATGGACCTTAATGAGTTGTATCACAAAATTACATTTTGTCAATATTGTGTTATTGAAATTTCAAATTCAATTCAAATTTAAATAACTTTATTTATCCCCCAGGCCAGGGGTCGGCAACCCGCGGCTCTGGAGCCACTTGTGGCTCTATCATACCTCTGCTGCGGCTCCTTGTGGCTTTGGAAAATAAATTACGAGTATTTTAATTAATATGTATTTTATTTTAGCTTGTTCGTTTTTAAAATGTAATTCTAAATTTGAAGATTTTTGTGAACTTGTAACAATAAAATAGAAAGTTCTTTTTTCACTCAAAATATGCGTTATAACCGCTGATGTGCGACACCCGCTGGTACGTGCATTGTTGCCAACTAGATAACTTTCCTGCTAAATCTGACAACTTTCCAAATCCTCTTGGAGATTTTTTTTGTTTTTGGATTTGTTTTTGTTTCAGAAATAAAGTTTCATTTTCTCTGTAGCAGTTCACTGATTTCATAAATGCAACACACTGTTGTTTTTTATACATAGCATAAAGGTAAAAACGATATATGCAGTGTTATCTTCATTTTCAAAGTCAAAAGGGTTTTGTGGCTCCCTGTGGGTTCAAATGGCTCTTTGAGTGTTGAAGGTTGCCGACCCCTGATATGTTGCATGGAGCGAGCTACGTTCTGGACTGTCCACTGGAGTCCATAGAGGAGGTGGGTGAGAGGAGGATGTTAGCCAAGCTGACATCCATCATGGACAACACCTCTCACCCCCTGCATGACACTGTGGGGTCCCTGAGCAGCTCCTTCAACAGCAGACTGATTCACCCACGATGTAAGGAGCGCTACCGCAGGTCCTCCTTCCTAACCGCTGTCAGAATCTATAACAACATGTTGTAGTTCTTCTCTCCATACTGCATCTTTGCACTCAGGTTTTTCTCATGTGCAATATACTGTGTGCAGTATATCTCCCTTATGTGCAATAATTATCATAATTGTACCATATTTTATTTTATTCTATTTATCTTTTTTATTTTTTAATTCATAGTATCCATTATATGGACCTATAGTGTATATAGTGTGTGTGTGTGTGTGTGTGTATAGCTCTATTGTATTACATTTCTCAGCTCTTCTATTTATAGTTTATTTCTTCTCTTTTCTTCCTGTCACTTTTTTGTGCTCCTTCCTGTATCTATACTGCTGCAACAATGTGAGTTTCCCCATTGGTGGTGAAAAATAAATCTAATGGAAATGCAATTTAAGTGCATTGCCAGATATACAATAAGATATACTGTATCTAAGAAGTTATTAAAATTAAAATTTACTGAAATGTATTAAAATTTAAAAATCCCCTTTGGGAATTTACCCCACTAGTAGGGCTATGGATCAATTTTTTTGTACCTACTAATTAAAATTCTACAATTTCATTTTGCAGATGCTTTTATTCAAAGCGACATACATCTGAGAGCAGATACAACCCAAGCAAGGATCTAGTCAGGAGAAAACAATCTGGATAAGTGCCATAGAACAAGTTCAAGTGTGATAGGGCGTTGATGTCAATAGCAGGCTGTGTGGGAGGTCATAGGATTTTCTTTATTTTTTGTTTGTTTTTTGTTTGTTTGTTTGTTTTCAGTCTGTCAAGTGCAAAGGTGTTCAGTGAAGAGCTGGGTCTTTAGTCTCTTCTTAAAGACTGAGAGGGAATCAGCAGATTGAACAGAGTTTGGTAACTTGTTCCACTATCGGGGAACCACAGAGGAGAAGAGTCTAGCTATCTACCTTGGGCCCTGTTGTTGTGGTTGTATCAGGTGGCTTTTGTTGGTCGAGTGTAGTGAGTGGGAGGGAGTGTAGTCTCAAGTAACAGAGTTCAGATAGGAGGGAGCTGTTCTCGTTTTGTAAGTTTGGTAAGTTTTGTAAGCAAGTGTCAGGGTTTTGAGTTTGATGCAGGCAGCAACTGGAAGCCAATGAAGCGATCTCAACAGTGGGGAGACGTGCTGTTTTTGGCTAGTTGAAAACCAGACGTGCTGCTGCATTCTGGATCATCTGTAGAGGCTTGACCGTGCATGAGGGGGGGGCTGCCAGTAAGGAGTTGCAGGAGTCAATGCGTGATATTATGAGAGCTTATACCAGGAGTCCGATATTCCTGATGTTGTACAGGGCGAATTGACACGACTGAGCAACAGAGGTCACATGAGCCTTGAAGGTTGGATGGTCATCAATCATGACACCCAAGTTTCTGGCAGATTTTGTGGGTCCGAATTGGGTTGAATCAAGCTCGATGTTGATTTCTTGTTGTAGAGAGGGACTGGTTGGGATGACAAGAAACTCAGTCGTAGAGCGGTTGAGTTGAAGGTGGGCTTTTTTCATCTATGCCGAGATGGCTGCAAGGCATGATGAGATCCGGGCAGAGACCATGTGGTCTTCCAGGGGGAACGACAAGAAGAACTGAGTATCATCAGCATAGCAATGCTATGAGAAAACATGGGCATGGATTATTGCACCAAGTGAGGTTGTGTAAATTGAAAAGAGAAGGGGACCGAACACTGACCCTTGAGGAACCCCTATGGATAGGTTGTGCAGTTCGGACACTTTTCTTCTCCAGGATACTCTGAAGTATCTTCCAGGGGTTCGTTTCACAAAGTATGTTCAACAAACTCTGAGTCTAATCCTGAACTCTGAGTTGATCTACTCTGAGATAGGAAACTCTGAGTTTCTGGTTCCAGAACAGCGGATTTGAGTTAGTTTAATCAATTCGGAGTAGTTTCACCTGGAGTTAAGCGCGTGCACCACAACTACAAAAAGACAGCATCAATGGAGCCCTGATTCAACGAGTCACCATGGCAATGGGGAAGAGGAGGGCTGCGTTTTTCACCCCATTAGAATTGTAAATCGTAATGCGCTCACATGGCGAGTTTGAACACGTTTTTAAAAAGAAGTGCAACACCGCTGAAGCTGCAAAACAGAGGAAGACGGCGTAGAGAATATTGCTGCTCGGGTCAATGCGTAAGTTTAAATGTCGTCCTCTGCAATCACAATAATATTACAGGGGAAAACTGCTTGAATGGTAGCCTATGAATTTATTTCATGTAGGTGCAATCCCGCAGGGGAGAAGTGCACTTGATAGCAGCTTACGATGAAATATAAAAACACTGTTCAAGTCTGAGGTTGCAGCACAATGATTTTTGACAGAACTAGGCTATGCCAAAACATGCCTGCTGACTGAATGAATGAATGAGGAAATCAAATAGTGTGTGTGGCTGAAAGAGGGCGGAGACAGAGAGAAACTCGAGGTTCATTGAGAAAAACCTGGTCCCAACCAGGTTAGGTTCATAGAGTCTGCTATTAAGGTAACTGAGCAAGGTCTCAAGTTACTTTTCTGTGAAACAGGCTACAGTTACCCCTCTTCCTCTGGTTTGAGTTACCTCCCTTTCTGAAACGGAAAACTCAGAGTTTCCTTCATTTCGGGGTTACCAAACTCTGAGTTTTCACTAAACCTGCTTTGTGAAACGGACGCCTGAGGGGTATACTACGAAGCAAGCTTGACGTAGTCAGGCTTTCTTTGAGCCGAAGTGACAAAACCGAAAACCCCAGCCAGAGATTGCGGGTATCACGAAGGTAGTTATCAATTTTCTTTGCCAATTCAGATTTTCTGCTTCAGACTCTGTGCTCGTTCACATAAAAAGGTGTGTTTAACATGTCATGTGACTCTTCTTCTGCACAAAATGAAACGATCGTGTGCAGCTGCTTCAGTCACCACGTTGTTTTAACGGAGAACAATGAAGAATATATTGAAAAAAATTAGGATGGTGAAAATCGCTGCTACTGCAAATGGTGAAGACAGGAATGCTTGTAGAAAACTGTTATATATAAAATTTTGCAGATGCAGCCGCTTATTTCCAACGGACAGCTGCACGTTAAAGTTAAACTTTAAACTTCATACATTTCAATCACTTTATTTATATAGCACATTTTCAAAACCACAGGGGTAGCCAAAGTGCTACATTTAAATGGGATCTTGTATTGAAGTGCATTTAGGTCTGACACTGTCCCACAATGCAGGAAATCACTTTAATTTTTGGCCCAGTCAGAGTGAAATTAATGTTATTGATTGAATATTCTCCGTAGTAAATACCAGTGGAATAATCCATTTTTCTGCATTGCTAGTATTAAGTCTATCTGTTTTTGCCTGTGCCTCTGCTCCTTCTGTTTACATTAATGACTCACTATGTGTTTTTGGACTACTGAGTGTGTTTCTTTTATATGGACGTTTTGTTATATGTATCACCTTTACAATAAAGCTCACTTTTCTGTTCCCAATACCAGTCTGTGTCTTTGTGCTGCATTTGAATCCTTTCCTGAACTTTTCACTTAACAATTTCATTTGAGGATTTACATTTCAAGCATGTATACCATATTACTCCAGAACAACAAAAAATGTGTTCAATTATCTTTGAGTAACATGCCATTCTAATCATAGCGAATTTATGTCAGTATCTATACAATATATACACCGTTCCACCAGCAGGAAACAGGTGCTTGTTGTGGACTGGCACTGGGGCTGGTGCTGATTTGGAGTACGTTCAACCTTAGAGTCTTCTAAGAACTAATTTGCTTTTTCATGGGCTAGAGAGCCACCATAGAGCAATATTAGTACATCCTTGTACAAGTGTTTGAATCATATTAGTTATTGAAGCTCCTAGTTTATTCCATAAATGCTCTCAAGGACCACAGTGCAAGGAGACAGCTCTCCTATGGACCACTGCTGGAAAATTGAGGAAGTCAGAATATATCTCATTTTATGTGTCGTTTGAGGCTTAAAAATCACAGTCAGTGTTTCATAAATGCCATTGCAAACAACACTTGGTGTAATGCCACTCTATGCACCTGCATTTGCAATGCCATTTATCAATGCCAGGTGGTAATACTAAGCATTAAGTGCCATTCATGAACACAGTCGCAAATGCCAGTTTTTTTAAACCATCATTAACAATGAACTTGGCTGTACATACATTGTTGCTTCAATTTCAAGTCTATACTCAAGTTGTGTTTTTCTTTTTCTTCTTTTTTAGATAAGGCATGGTTGCTCTACTATTTTTTTAAAAATGGCAGTCACAAATTTTACTTTAGTTTTAGTTGCCCCCAGCCCCTGACGTAAGTGGTTTTTGGTTCTAGATCAGCAAAGTGTTGGTGTCACTCTCTAACCCATTTTCCTGGCCGAGAGCTGTTTCGTTGGCAGTCGAAATGAGAACTGGTTTGAGATGTGGCACCAACTCTAATGTTACCCTCCAACTGCCTTGATGGAAAATGTGATATGAGTAGATATTGTGCTACAAGATGAGATATTTGGCAGAAAAATAAATGTCAAAGAATATTTTACTGATATGTTTGGTAACAGCGTATTTGTGGCTCGCCAAATCTGTTAATTTTCTTTTTTACGTGGAAAAATAAATCAATTTGGAATAGTGAATTCCAAATCACTATGAGTGTGACAAAAGTTTCATGGTCTCCACAGGGTTCCCTAATTCTTATAGATCAGTGTTCTGTCACCTACACAGAGTACAGGAAGCAGATCAATGCTGCCACTTAGTGATGTAGCTACACTATATATGTGTCTTGGAGAAACAAAAGCTTTTATATGTTTTTAACATCTGACCAGAAACAAGAATCTCAAAAATACCTCATCAGGTGTTTTGTCCATTGAATGTCACAGTGTCACTTTATTGAATGCTCTTTGGATCCATTTTTGGAAATTAGTTTGTTTCGCCACTTGGAGTGAAATCAAGTGGCGAGTTGAACATTTACATCTATCCACCTAATGTTCTGAAGCTGTGTTTGTTGTGTTGTGTACGTGTTGTGTTTTTGTTTGTTTTTATGATAGACCACACATCACTTTCACCTGTAAGCCTGAATGGTTGCACTGTGCTGTTGTGTTGCAAAATAACACAGTAAAGGAAAGAAAACTGAATCTGTGCATTCCATGTGTTCCAACTAAACCCCAATGTAATCATCACTCATATCCACAATCACCTATACAGTCCAAAGATCACCAATCCAAGAGACTGAACCAAAAGCTAAGGGCCTTAAAATCAAAACCAGTTGAAAGAGCTATATAACCAAATACTAAACAAACTAAATAATATTACTGAGTAAGCTCCCACATACCTCCAAAATAGCAGAGCTGTTGAAGTTGACATCAAGTGGGTCATCAGTTACACTGTCTATCCAGGGGTCTGGAGGAGGGAGGATGGATGGGTCAAAGCCCACATCCTCATAATCATCAGAGGCACAGGCGTGGTAATGGTTCCCTGAGCCCTGGATACTGACAGTGGAGGTGGCGGCATCACGGGAATATTGTCGAGAGATGGCACCAGATGACAAGACTTCCATGTCAGTGTCCGGGGAGTCTAGAGGCGTGTCTAGTAGGTCTGGCATGTCTAGATCTGCCTGAATAGAATTGTGAATACATTTTAAAAATTAACAGAATAAACAAACACCTGTGTGAGCATTGCAGGTTTTTCAGGTCTTTATCTAACTGCAAGAAGCCCAGACACTTTGAAATAATGTTCAGTCTCACTGGTTGGGTAAAGTGTGGCAAAGTGATGCAGGGGCTAGCTGCTCGCCTCACTTGCAGACCTTCATGTCTTGAAGGTCCTGGGTTCAAATCTCAGCTGGACTTTATATGTTCTCCCAGTACCTGTGAGGATTTTTAAAGGCTTCCTGTCACAGTCCAAAGGCATGCTTAGATAAATGGGTAATTTCAAATTGTAGATGGGTCATTCGACCCAAATTCACCAAGTTTTAAAGTTCACGGCAAACCATCATATATTTGTCAGATTTTTTTTCCTTTGCATACACATGTTATTAAGTACAACATGTAAACTTTTGGTCACTGGTGCTGTATCTTTTTGAGTAAGAAATTCTCAAAGAAAGGTGCAGTTATGTTGTTTTTTGTGTTGTTTTCTTGGTGCCAATCTGTGGAGCAAGGTTTGTTTGAAATTTCATAAAATTATTTGAAGGGCTATGAGTTGGAAAACCAATATTTCCTTTTAAACCAGTAACAATATTATATAGAAATGCCTGTGCAAATATTGGCGCATAAAACTTAATTTTTTTTTCTCATAATGTATGCCTTTCCCTGGTACCATACTTTCATTTTTTAAAGCGCCTATTGGTGCCAATCACAGGAAAATAACTCAGCATCTTAGGGTGAAAAATGAAGGTTTTATGGTTGGTGGAATATCGGAGTAGATAGAAACATTGCCATTTTTTGACAAAAATTTACACCATCTTATAACTTCTTTGTGGGCTGCAAGGTGACTTGGTGGTTAGCACTGTTGCCTCGCAGTGAGAAGGTTGCTGGTTCGCGATCTTTCTGTGTGGAGTTTGTATGTTCTCCCTGCGCAGCCTGGGTTCTCTCCAGGTTCTCCGGCTTCTTCCCACACAGTCCAAAAACAGGCTGAGGTTAATTGGTGATTCTAAATTGTCCGTAGGTGTGAATATGAGTGTTCTTGGTTGTCTGTCTGTAGCCCTGTGATAGACTGGTTACCTGTCCAGGGTGTCCCCTGCCTTTGCCCTAAGTCGGCTGGGATCGGCTCCAGCCCTCCGTGAACCTAGTGAGGATTAAGCGGTGTTTATATATTGGATGGAGAACTTGTTTGTTTTGTTCTGTCAAAGCAGGGTTGTACCATGAAAGACTAAATGTACGTATCAACAACCCTGCAGAATTTCAGCACTCTAGTTACATTATTGCTCAAGTCAGGGCACTTTGCTCTACAGATGGATGAGAAGAAAAAAACTGGCATAACCCCACCTTCTTTAAGAATTTCTAACTCAGAAACTAATGTTGCCTATGACATCAGATTTGACACATGGTCAACTCAGTCAATATTCACCACTTTAAAAAAGAATCTGTCAAATTGAAGGTGGTCAGGCGTGGGGCATTCCGCAGATTGAGGTGGAATGACCCAGGAATGAGAAAGCATGGTTGTCTGTCTCACTGTATTAGCCCTGTGCTGGACTAGTGAACTGTCCAGGGTATACCCTGCCTTTCACCCTGTGTAGTAGTGTATAGATAATTGATAGAAAGATAGATAGATGATTGGGTAGAACTCAATTGTATTGCCATGGGCCTCAGGTCTGTGGGCACATAACACTAAAGTGGATTCAAGCATGATTTATAGATTGGATAATTCATTAATCAGAAGTCACATGAAAAATAAAGCATTTTGGAAAACTACATATTGTACTGTAAGCACATTTTTACATCAGAAAGTGACTAGAGAGTGCACACCCTGCCAAGGATGTATAAATATCCACATTGTAATTTGTATGCAATCAACAGAAGATCTGATCAAATATGTGACTGACTAATTGTTCTACATTTAAATCAAAAATAAAATAGTCACTGAAAATCACAGGACACTTTCCCATTCAAGAAAAGGCAGTAGTTTATTAAAAAAAACAGCAAAAATATCCTCGCAAAATTAACACCCCTTTCATTTGCCATGGAAAAGTTTCACTGCATTTAATTAAAAATCAGTGTTAAAAATATTTAAATACTGTTAACTAATGAATAATGAACTATGATTTGAGGGATAAACAAAGCTTACCTGTACAGCTGCTGTCACACTGTTGGAGCGCTGAAACCGGCGATACCTGACCACCAGAGGGAGACAAACAACAAATACTAAATATCAAGATTTTCCTCTCTCTGATCACAGGCAACTATTCCTACAGAAAAGATTACACACATTACATCACATACTTCATCTACATTTGGCATCTGCTCATAATAACAATAGATATTACCAGCTACACTCGGTTGTTGTTTTCCACTCCAAACTGGCACCTTATTGTAGTGGAGAGGTTTGCGTTTTCCTGTGATTCTGAGACCCATGTTAAAGAAATAGTACCCCTAAGACAATCTAATCCCAGATGAGAAATTACTAGGACTAAGAACAATTTCCTGTTTTATTAACTCTCTAGTTCTAGGGCAAAAGCGTGTACTGCTGCATGCTGTGTATGTGCCATCAACCTTTTAACCCCCACAGGTTTTTATTGCAAGCATTTCATTCATCTCCATTTTTCAAATGTGACTTTAATACTGTTAAGTCAAACATTCTTGTTTTGTTGAATATGTTGTCACAGCTGCTTTAAAACTCTTCTGTTTACTTGCATTTAAGACTGAAAAATTGCAGTTTTGAAGAAAGTAGACCATATCCAGTTGCAAAGAAGAAGTCCATGGGGTCTATGAACAGCTTGAGACTTGTTTTAAACCATGCCATAGTACTGAAACATGCCTTTAAATAGTTTTTAATTTGATTCTTTTAACCAGTAATTCATAGAATGACTTGATCTTTTGGATGACGACAATGGTACTTCTGGGCCTCTAGTTTTCAGGTTCTTTGGTTAAGAACCTTCATGTAATTTTTGACAGCTCCTTTAAACTCAAACAATTTTCAACTGTCAAAACTAACATTTTTCATGAAAGATTTTTAGCCAAGGTAAAGACCTATCTCTGTCTTAAAGATTTCTAAAAAGTTCTTTATGCTTTTATTACCTCTCTTTGGTGTTATTGTAATTGTTTGTATGAGGGTGTAGAGCAGTCATGTCGTCAAATCTCTTGGTAAGTTGTGTCAAATGTAATGCATTAGGGGCAGTTGTTGATGGTTCTTACAATATTATTCTATGATATTATCTAGGGGGGGAGAGAGCTCGCCATGGTGGAGAGAATGGTGGAGAGCACTTTGAGGATCTCCTGAACCCGGTAAACATGTTCTCTGCTGAAGAGGCAGAGCCTAAAGACTCGGGGGGTTTCTGCATCCATATCTGTGGTGGAGGTCCCCAAGGTAGTTAAAAAGCTCCTCGGTGGCAAAGCGCCAGGTGTGGACGAGATTTGCCATGAGATGCTAAAGGCTCTGGAGATTGTTGGACTGTCATGGCTGACACATCTCTTCAATGTCACGTGGACATCAGGTATGGTGCCTGTGGAGTGGCAGACCGGGGTGGTGGTTCCCATTTTCAAAAAGGGGGACTGGAGAGTGTGCTCAAATTACCGGGGAATCACACTTCTCAGCCTCTCAACTGCTCTACCACCTGAGCTACAGCCGCCCACAAGTCACCAGTCACTGCTTAAACAGTTGGAGGTAGCGGAGCTGGTAAGAGTCACTAGTTCTTTGGTGCTACCTCCAGTAAAAACAACCAGAAATCACAGCAAACTCTTACTCATAGTAGAATCATGCAAAATGACTTTACCAGCAGTTCTGCCTGTTAAAAGCATGTAAAACACTTCTTCTATGCTTGCAGCATACACTGATTTATTGGTTTACATAATTAAATAATTTCTCCTGTCATTTAGGCCATGATGTTCAGTCCCTGCTAAAACTGTGCAACGAAGATGCTGGTTTAACTATTGGACATCCTAGAGACTACAACTCTTCCTTCAAAACTGAACTGATCAGTCCTCCAGGTTGGACTAAGCCAGTAGAGCCAGCAAGTAAATTAGGAGAAGACCTTAGACTAGACCCAAAAAAACATTATTGACAGTGCTGTTTTGCCTATAGTTTTCTGCCCTGTTTGTTGTTGTAGAGTGTTTGTTTTTTTTTTCCAAGTTTTCTTTGTTGATTTATTGAGGGCCCAGTTGGGATTGCCATAGGTTCCAAGTACTTCCTTGGTATGCATGTGCCCCCTATCCTTTCCTCGTGTCTTGATATTGCTGTAAGGTTCTGATGACCCCTAGCTTATGTTTCAGTAGGTGGTGGAAGTCAACAGCAGATATTTGTCTGTGTGTTTAGGTTTTCTGTAGACTTCAAAGTTGAGTCTCGTGTTCTCCTTAATGTGCACAGCACAGTCCAAAAATACACTTTGTTTCCCCTGAAATCATATTTTGTGAGCTAGAGGTTGTTGTCAACCGAGTTGATATGTTCTATCAAAGCTTCTACTTCGTGGGTGGTGATTTTCATTGACATGACTGAACCAGTGGCTTGGAGTTATTTTCTTCAAAGAGCTCAGTGCTCTGTTGCTCTACAGCATGTAGAGATTGAATACAGCAAGTGACACTGGAGAGCCCATGGCGTGATGGAGTAGCTTTGCTATTGCTACTGATCCCCCCCCAGTCAACCGATGATGCTATTTCCACTGCCCTCCACTCAGCCCTCACTCCTCTGGAACATGAAGAACATGTATGTCAGAATGCTGTTCATTGACTTCAGTTCAGCATTCAACACAATCATTCTCCAGCAGGTCATTCACAAACTGGACCGGGTGGGGCTCATTACCTCGTTGTGCAACTGGTTGTTGGACTTCCTGACACGAAGACCACAAGCAGTACAGGTTGGCAGCAACACATTGAGCACCATCACGGTGAACACAGGGCCCCTCCAAGGATGTGTGCTAAGCCCCCTCATCTTCACTCTGCTGACCCACGACTGTACACTGAGTTACAGCTCCAACCTCTTCATCAAGTTTGTGGATGACATGATTGTGGTGGGTCACATCAGCAACAGTGATGAGACAAACTACAGGAGCAAAGTGAGCCTACTGGCTATGTGGTGCAGAGACAACAATCTCTCTTTGAATGTGGATAAGATGAAAGACATTGTTGTGGACTTCAGGAGACTGCACAACCAGCATGCTGCTCTGACCATCGACAGTGCTGTTGTAGAGAGGGTGAGCAGTGCCAAGTTCCTGGGTGTCCACAACACAGAGGACCTCTCCTGGACTAACAGCACTGCATCACTGGCTAGGACGGCTCAACAACATCTGTACTTCCTCCGTAAACTGAGAAGAGCTAGAGCCCCAGCTCCCATCATGTGCACCAAACAGAGCAAGCTAAGATCGAAAGCATAGGAGATAGAAATTAGTTGGTTAGTGTTTTTGGAGCTTTGGTTTTGAGTTTGACTAGGACTTGTTGTCAGGTAGCTGTCAGACTCTGTTGAAGCAGAGCACTTCCCGGTTTCACTCTCTAAGTTTCAAGAGGTGGGCCATTCCCCCTATTGTTAACTGGCAGAAAATCTGAAAGGGACAGGCTCAGCCATAGTACTTCCTGGTATTTAAACAAACATGCTATGCTGTAGCGTCAGCCTGTTGTGTCAGTCCCATGGCACTCTCTGCTGCCTCCATCTTCTCCCACACACTCCGCAGTGTTGGACGGGGAGGTGGTACAGGAGTCCTCACTTCCAAAAAATGGAAGTTCATTAGGCTCTCTCTGCCAAGCAACAACTCCTCATTTGAATACCATGCAATCAGTGTCACTGCATCAGTTAAGCTATTTGTTGTTGTCATAAATCGTCCTCCAGGGTGTCCGCTGGGTAACTTTGTAGTTGAGTTGGACATGCTACTCTCTGCCATTCAGAACTATGATACACCTCTTGTTGTAATGGGAGATATGAATATCCACACACACAAAGTCCAAGGAATTGACTGTCTGTCACTTATGGCATCATTCGACCTGAAGCAGGTCTTTACCCCTCCCACACACAAAACAGGTAATAAGTTGGACCTGATTTTCTCTCGAAACTGCTCCACAACAAATCTAAGTGTCACTCCGCTTCATCTATCAAACCGCTATTTTATTCAATTCACTGTCGCCTTTCCGGAAGAGTCTCCAGTTCCTCCACAAATGGTGTCCTTCCACTGCAATCTTTGGTCCCTCACACTTACTCTGGACTTTCTGACCGAAAGACCCCAGTCTGTCCGAGTCGGAAAGAACATCTCCAACTCTATCACACTGAGCACTGGATCTCCTCAAAGCTGTGTACTCAGTCCACTGTTGTTTACACTGCTAACACATGACTGTGCAGCCACACAAGGGGATCCAGATCATCAAGTTTGCTGATGATACCACAGTAGTGGGACTTATTTGCGGGAACAAAGAATTAATGTACAGAGATGAAGTGAAACACCTTGAGGGCTGGTGCAGTAAGAACAACCTGCTGCTCAACATGGACAAGACAAAGGAGATGATCATCGACTTCCAGAGGTCACATCCTGAGCATGCTCCCCTCAGCATCAGCGGCTGCACAGTGGAGAGAGTGGAGAACATCAAGTTCCTCAGAGTGCAGATCTTGCAGAACGTGAGCTGGAATAAGAACACTGCAGTGATCATCAAACGGTCCCAGCAGAGACTGCATTTTCGGAAGAAGCTGAAACAAGCGTCTCTCCCTGCCAGCATCCTCAGGACTTTTTACAGAGGTGTGGTGGAGAGTGTTCTGACATACTGCATCTCAACATGGTACTCCAGCTGCAGTATGTCAGACAGAAAAGCCCTGCAGAGGATAGTTAGAGGAGCTGAGAGGGTCACTGGAGTCCAAGAACTTTTCCAGAGCTGCTGCAGGAGCAGGGCTCTGAACATTGTCAGGAAATCCTCACACCCTCTCCATAAACTGCTTGAACTGCTACCATCAGGCAAACGTTTCCGGAGCATTAAAGGAAGAACCTCCAGAATGATCAACAGCTTGATGCTGTTGATCATTCTGGAGGTTCTTCTTCATGCTTCATGGATTGGGCTGCAAAAAACCTTGAACAGGTACTGCTGATATATTAACATCATTCACTACATCCACTGCACCTATGGGCTTTTCAGTAGTCTTCATATTGCTGGAGAAAATGCCCCCAGGCTGAGAAAAAAAAAAAAAAAAACTAAGCAGGAGAACACTACAGTCAATTTTCAACCTTACTGTGAGGTTAGAATAATTTAAATGTCCTTTCTCTAATTTCATAGAAATAGAAAATGGCATAATAGATTGAATGTGTGTTAAAAGGGCAATCTTAGCCAACAGGTTTCTTTTCACCTGTTAGACTGAATACCACTTAGCTGTTGTCAGCAAAGAAAGGAAATAGTACAGAGTGAAGAAAAAAAAAAGTATGCTTTACCCTCTGTCATCTTCCACTTGCACCCCTACAGAGGTAAACTTGGATGCGTCTTCTGGATCAGGAATCTCCTCCGGTCCATCCACCTGCAGGGCACAGATAGGATAGAACTCATATCAGTCATAACTAAAAATAAAATTAAAGCATTACATAAAAACTAAATATGTTTGACATGTTTTACAATTTTCAGTTTTCCAAGGGTCAGTATAATGTGTAAGTGACTGAAGCCCATTATTTATTTTACTGCAGTTTCATGAATACCTGGATGCCTATTGACAGACATTTGCCCTTCCTAAATACTTCTTTTCTGTAATCATCTCGATGGTCTTCTACCACTGATCCCCTGGTCAGGACTGAAGGGACAGGAACGCCAACTGTCATGGTGCTGTTACTGACATGCTGACTGGCTGGTCCATGGATCTGCACAGTGAAGTACATTTGACAATAGAAGTATGTTACACAATTAGGTTCTTTAAAAAAAACATTTGGGAAACATTATTGTATGGCTATTACAAAATTACAACCTGTTTACTGTGCACTGTACAAAGCAAATGTACACTTCACTATGGCAAACTAATACAAAAGCACTAACCTGTGCATTCGCAGCTTCTATGGCAGCTGTCAAGGCCTTCATGCTGTCAATGCTTTCTGTTGAGTTACTGAGCCCTGACTGGATGGTCATATCACCTCTGGGTCCTTCCTCTTCCATGTATGCATCCTAGTTGGTTTTGGAAGACATGAAAAACTGTGTCCAAGACAAGGTGCTAATGTGACAAGTAACATCAAACAGCATCGACTGAATTAAATTCAGCTGTACTCATACAGTAGCAATTCACCACATATGTGATCTCAAGGCACATTACATTGCGAGGTGAAGATCTTACAAAACTATACAGAGAAACCCAACAAATTCAATGTTTCTTTTGGATTTTCTTTGAGCAAACCCTGGACAACACAATCATTTATGACATATAAATTTTAGATTAAAACAAAGGAAAACCTTGCCTTCCCTATTATTAATGGAGACTGAAACACATTGAGAAGACATAAGGAAACAATTGAAAATGTGCATTAGTTTAAGTATTCATTTATTCATTCCCTCACAAATTATTTACTGGCAGGGCTGTCCTGTGTTTGTCTGTTCATATCTGTTCTGCTGTCATCTTTGTTTTGTTTGCGTCTTTGGCTTTGACAAACAAGTACAGGGCCACTGTGTGACTGAAGTATATTTAACACATGACACCGGGAGCTCCTGTAAGCACTGGTTTACAGAGATACTTTTCAAAAAGGATACAGTCTTAATATATAAACAGACGAATCACAAGAATGGAAATTTGCCTCCTTTAAGGAGTCACTTAGGATTACATTGACTTCTTTGTGTCCCAGCCTGGGATCTTTCTGTGTGGAGTTTGTATGTTCTCTCTGTGCAGCGTGGGTTCTCTGCAGGTTCTCCAGCTTCCTCCCACAGTCCAAAAACATGCTGAGGTTAATTGGTAATTCAAAATTGTCCGGAGGTGTGAATGTGAGTGTGTTTGGTTGTCTGTCTCTCTGAGTAGCCCTGTGATTGGGTGTACCCTGCCTTCACCCGAAGTCAGCTGGGATAGGCTCCAACCTCCCCACAACCCTACAGAGGATTAAGTTGTATATAGATAATGGATTGATGGATGGATGGATAAATGGATGGATGGATGGATTGGGTAATAGGGAGAATCTAAGTTTGCCTGGTACAAGTACTTATTCTACTAGTGTTGTATAATTATGGCTACACTTAGTCACACATTCTCAGTATTTCTATGCACTCTGCACTGCTGACATTTGATTGTTTTATTTATTAATATGAAAGGAATACATCTTCTGCATCAATGGACGCTACAATCATTGTGCCAGAATGTTGTTGTCAATCTGCAAGTAATGTAGCCACGCTGTCATTAGTACACCGTAATCAAGTTTTTGTATCAGCATGAGTTTCAGTTTTTTACTTTAATATCACGTGAAACTGGTTCTGTGCCATCTTTCAGTTTGTTTTGGATGTTTCTTTTCCCTAAAGCTATAGATCTAATATCAATGGTAGAAAAAAGAATACTTTTTTTGTTCTTTCTCCTGAGGTTTGGTTCCTTGGGAGGAGATGTATATTGTATGGCTCATGAAGACAAGTGATTTTCGGATTTATAAATAAAAACTTCACTTGACCGCCTGAATGCAAACACTTTGCAGACATGATTTGGTGTTGTGCCATATTAGTGAGGGTTTCCTCAAGCGATTTTCCATCAGCGATTGATGCACAGTAGATCTGAAAATTGAGTGCTGCCATGAAGCTGGGTCCTCAAACAAACAAAAAAATGGAGACTGCATTTCTCTGCTGCTTTAGGAAGAGTCTTTAGAAGCCTTACACAGGTATAACAACTCCTGCAAATTCTTTAATTCTGTTATAGTCACTCCCTCTGTTTTCACCAAGGGGATGCAACAGATGTACACATGAATATGTACTTCAGTTTTCAGAAAACAATAAGGACCACAACACCAAAATTAATTCTGACAGCCAGTCAAGTGAATTTATCCCTATGGTGTCATGGACACTGTTTTTTAATTGCTCCATTGGGTCTCTCACTATATAAAACACTCTTTAAATTCATTATTTAACATAATTGAAATGTACAACATTTTATACATTTCCAACACAAAAAATACAGTATGTAGGTGTGTTTTGTTTCCTCTTGCAAACTTGTAGCCCCGGTGTCAGTTAAACAAAAGTATCAACTGAGTGCCGCTCCACTCATTCTCAACAATCCCCAGAGGCTTAAAGACAGAGAAACAGAGAAATAACATACGTTTTGTTGAACAAAAAGTTTAATTAATTTCATGTTTTCATTAATCCAGTTGTGCTACTGTTTTCTGCTGTACTACTATGATTGTGGTTTTCCTTTTAAAAATAGTTTGGCTTTAACATATTCTGTTCAATGTCTTTTGGTATTTGTGACATTCTATGGAAATCCTAACAGATGTTTCTTGTTATACTAATAAAACAGTGTGTTTCTAGGTAGTGTCCTAGTATTGGGGTTTTTTTCTTTCTTTCTTTTTTTTTTCTTGGAAAAGGACTGGTGTTTCTAAGCATCTTAATGCGGATACCTGTATCTCCACAGTTGATGTGCTAGTCTTTTTTCCTGTCCAAATAGCCTGAACTTATCAGTATACAGCACAGGGTAAACTGTATATTGTATGTGCTTTCTTGTGTACTATATGCAAATAATGTACTGATCTATAAGTAGATGTAGGGGGTTTAACATCATAGACTGTTTCTTTGTGCAGTACCTGTGCAGACTCTGTGCTGCTCTGGGCTGTGATGGAGATGTATGGCTTGGAGGCTGTGGAACAGGTGGAGGTTCGGGGCGGCACTGGTGGAGGGGTTTTCTTGTAGGTGGTGATGCAAGATGAAACTACAAAGAACAAGAAAGAAAATTAAGAAGGAGAAGAAATAAAAATAAAAATTCTGTATTTTATAAAGTGAACTGGTAGACACTGCACACAGAAGCTGCAGTAACTAATCCCACACAGATAAGGTTTTATTTTCTAATTTCCCATGTCTTGATACACAAGATGAAGACATTCGGTTAATTTAGTGAGTTAATATTCCATAAGACATGAGCAATACAAACTGAATTTGAACAGCAGTGACAATCACCATTACCTTGATTAACATTCTTGAGGCTTTGGCAATTTTGTTAACATAATATTTATGCAAATAAAGCATATTGAATTGGACTGAACTGAACTGGCAATCGGTGTGTTGGATCTATGTATACACAATAATTCAAATTTGTCTCCAAAAGATTACACTCCTACAAAACAGTGTTCCTAGTAATGTTTAGATGCAACATTATCACTGGCTAGATTATGTTAGGTCAGCACAATGTGGTTGGAGAGGATGGAAGGCGTACAGAGATCTCCACTCAAAAAGATTTAAATAGGCAGGTTACTCTAAATGGCACCACAACTTAAACACTGGCATGGTAGTCTTGTAAAAAGCTAAAGTCAATGAAATAAGGCAAATAATAATAATAATTTAAAAAATAAATAAATAAATAAATCTTGCATAAAGGGCTGCAAGATGGTGCAGCTGGTTAGCACTGCTGCCTCCCAGCAAGAAGGTCACCAGTTTGCGTCCCGGTGGGGGCACTGGGATCTTTCTATGTGAAGTTTGCATGTTCTCCCCGTGCAGCGTGGGTTCTCTCTGGGTTCTCCGGCTTCCTCCCACATGGTCCAAAAACATGTTGAGGTTAAATTGGTGATTCTAAATTGTCTTTAGGTGTGAATGTGAGTGTGCTTGGTTGTCCGTCTCTAAGTGCAGCCCTGCAATAGACTGGCAACCTGTCCAGGGTGTCCCCTGCCTTCGCCAGCAGCAGTGTATAGATAATGGATGGATGGAAATGCAACTATAAAATATTTAGTCATGATAGCAGCACAACTCTGGAAAAGCTGATGTTGGTCAACCCACCACTTCTGTCTGGACTGAAATATCTTAGCAGCAATGTATGGAATGCCATTAATGCCATTGTTTTTGCTGGACAGATTCCCTGTATAACCTCAGCTCCACTTATTGTACACAGTTGCAATAAGCTGCATTCCCCCACCACCATCTGGCAATCCCTCTGATTTTGTCACCCACTACAACAACACCCTCTCCTCCTGTCTGGATTTACTTGCCCCTAACAAAACCAAGACAGTCTCATTCACGCACTCTGCCCCATGGTACACCCTTGCACTTCACCAGATAAAAAGCACAGAAACATCAACTGGAACGACTTTTCAGAGAAACAGGACTCACACTACATCTTCAAATCTACACAGACCACATGCAAAAGTACAGAGATGCCCTCAACTCTGCCTGGTCAACCTGCTACTCACTTGACCCCCTGCTTTTCATCATCTACATCCTCCGTCTTGGTAATATAATCCATTGTCACAGTCTCCAATTCCACTGCTACGCTGATGACATTCAACTTTACATCTCCACCCAATCCATCACCTCCACCCTTTCCACCGTCTCAAACTGCCTCTCTGAAATAAAAGTCTGGATGCAAAACAACTACCTTCAACTGAACTGTGATAAAACTGACCTCATGTTCATCGGCCCCAAATCCCTCACCCAGTTCATCCATCACTTCTGCCTTACTCTTTGAAATTTATCCTTGACTCCCTCCTCTCACACCCGCAACCTTGGACCAATATTCAACGCCAACCTCACTTTTGAACAGCACATCAAACAGGTCACAAAAACAGCCTTTTTCCATTTGAAAAATATTGCCTGTCTCCGACCATCTCTCTCCCTCCCTGCAGCTGAAACACTCATCCATGCCTTCATCACCTCCAGACTGGACTATTGCAAGAGCCTCTAGGGTTTACCCTCAGAACTCCTCAAAAAACTTCAGCTTATTCAACACTCTGCCGCCCATCTCCTCATCCACACCTGCTCACGTGGGCACATCACCCCCGTCCTCCAACATCTCCACTGGCTCCCTGTCAAACAACGGATCACGTTCAAGATCCTCCTCCTCACCCACAAAGTCCTCCATCATCTGGCCCCCTCGTACCTCACAGACCTGCTCCAGCCCCACACCCCTTCCTGCAGCCTCTGTTCCTCCTCTGCTCACCTCCTCGCCCCACCACCAAGGACAAAGCACCGAACCTGGGGGGACAGAGCCTTTTCTGCTGCTGCTCCCACCCTCTGGAACTCCCTTCCATCTCCCATCCGACACAGCTCTGACCTTCATACATTCAAGTCCCTTTTGAAAACTCACCTTTTCAAGATCGCTCATAATGTTTAACTGTTTTACTTTTTTTTTTTAACCTGCCTTCTATACCTTTTTTTGTCTGCTTTTTATTCAACTTGTTTTGTTCCTGTTTTTATCTTATACCCTGTTAAGTGATTTTGAGTATCGTGAAAAGCGCTATACAAAATAAATGTATGATAATTATTATTATTATTATCCATTATCTATACACCGCTTAATCCTCATTAGGGTCGCGGGGGGGCTGGAGCCTATCCCAGCCGACTTAGCGCGAAGGCAGGGGACACCCTGGACAGGTCGCCAGTCTATCACAGGGCTACACTTAGAGACAGACAACCAAGCACACTCACTTTCACGCCTACGGACAATTTAGAATCACCAATTAACCTCAACATGTTTTTGGACTGTGTGGGAGGAAGCCGGAGAACCTGGAGAGAACCCACGCTGCACGGGGAGAACATGGAAACTCCACGCAGAAAGATTCCAGTGCCCCCACCGGGACGCGAACTGCCAACCTTCTTGCTGCGAGGCAACAGTGCTACCAACTGCGCCACCCTGCAGCCCTATTATTATTATTATTATTATTATTATTGTTATTATTATTATTATTGTTGTTATTATTGTTATTATTATTATTATTATTATTATTATTATTATTACAGGTCAGACAGTGCTGATTGTTTTGTTTCGTTTTTTTCTAGACCAGAAGAGATATGCAATTCCTCCAGGGAGTTCTGGAACATAATCTACTGGTAAATCTTCACTATGCCAGTCCAGAACAACGTCCGTAGTACTGTGGATGACGCATCAGTTCATCTGCCCATCTCAAAGTCCATTTCCCATCACTTGTAAACAAGATCCTGCTATGCTTATACTCTTTCACTTGGGCCAGTACCTCACACCCAACCAATAGGGAGCAACTCACTGGTTTCTAGCAGAGAACCATGACCTGTGACTTAATGGGGCTTACTCTTATTCCAGCCACTTTACACTTGGCTGCAAAATGTGCACATCACTGTGCATTGAAGGTCATGACCTGAATCGAACTATGTTATCTATTAAAAGAAGAGACACAACTCTGAGGTTCCCAAACCTGACACCCTCCCACCTGGTACTGTACATGAACAGGTTCTGCTTTGAACTGACAGGTCCTTTCTTTACCCAAGTGTCCAAAACATATGGCAGTGGGTCTAATGATATTATCCCAAAACCAGTAATTGACCTTTGGCCAAAGGTGTTTTCAGTACACTTATGAGCTACCTTATTTTCAAACATGATGTTTTTTATGGCAGATCCAAGTGACTTGCACAGCTGTACAATATCCATCCACATACCATTATGTGTGGAGGTGAGCCAAACTATACCTAACTCGTACTGCTCCACCTTCTGCATAAGCTCCGCATCTTTGAGCCAGTCTGTAAGGCCAGGAGTTTCCATGGCCAGGTGCCCACTCAGTTGGCCGCCCCTGCCTGTTGCCTGTCTGGCATCGCCTCTTCCAGCAGCTGGAGGGCCAACTGGATGGTGACTCCATCTCACTCCTTCAGGTTCTGCCCAGTCGAGCCCCAAGGATAAAAATTCAGCTAGTAGATGCTAAATGGCGAGCTCTCAGTCCAGGCCTGGCTGAAGGAGGGGGCCCCGGTCTCCCTTCTACCTATAGGGCCACACAAACCCTTCTACCACAAAAAAGTGGCAATTCTTCAGGGAAACAACAGGCAAAGACTCAACTGCTGGCAGTAAAAAATGTTTAATTAAATTAAAAACAAATCAAAAGTGTGGTTTTTGTAGTACTGTATACCTCAGATGTGATATAATATGTTGTCAGTACAAATGGACATTATCCTGTCAGATCATGTATTTTACATGTATATATTACATTTACATCTAATAAAAAACATAAATGTATTTGCTGTTGCAAGTGACTTGTGCAGTATATACAGTAGTTGTCATGTAGTACAGGAATGAAATTTGCCATTGTATCTGTCTTCAGCCTTCTCCGTCTTTGCAATACCTAGAAAACAAACTTTGAGTGTTTGCTGTAGGGATGCTTTGGGGCTAAACAAGGGACATGAAGATAATCCTCATTATCCTGTTGATGTAAAATTACAGAAAGAACAGCCTGCCTCCTTCTCCCTCTGTTGAATAAGCCTTCAATAGTGGTAAGCCTGTCTCCTCTCCTCCTGCTTGTCTCCAGATAGGGTTGGCTTGATGTAATATAAGATTTTCAGCAGAATATTTAGGTTGCTTTTGGACAGGGTCAGGGCTCATCACGAGGTTTTTGATGCATCAGTGGAATACTAACGGTTCACCACTGTCCGTTTTGAAAGAGAGGTCTTGAGTCTCTTGATAAGAGTCATCCCTTTGACTGACATGAAAAGTGTTAAGAAACTGCTTGGCTGCTTAATTAAATGTTACAGAAAATCCCCAGATTGTTTTCAAACCTGTTGTGAAAGGGAATATTAGGCCTCTCCATATACGATATAAAAAAGATTGATCTGTTCTGGCAGTTTGTACAGTATGTTGCATATATTGTTGGTGTTTTTTTCTTTGCAGTAAGTCTAGATACCAGTATTAGACATCTGAACACAGAATGTTACTACAAAGGATGTCACAATAAATTATAGAAGGATATCAAGTCTATAGGATGCTGG